TAAAGCGGAGGTTGACCCCCCTCTGAGAACAAAAACCAAAACAGCCAAAGAGGACCTCACCCTATAATCTGTTAAAAGTAGTGTGAAATGGGGTGTAACCTGTCTTTCAGCAACTTCTAGTAGTTAAATCAAATAAATCCTGACACTCACTTTACAATCAACAAGTAACAATTTATCTACCTAACTCTAACAGTGAACAAATTAACTAAACAATTAACAAACGGAACAAATCCCTTCTAACTACTAACTATTCCCAAATAAAACAAGATTCTAATGGCATGCTGTTCCAATAAATACAAATCCCACCTATATGAAATAAAATAGAATTTAGTCTCTCGAAATTACAGCCACGTTACGTGTCTTCTGGAATGCTCTGTGCCTTCTCTGCTGATTCTTCTGTCAGGAATGTTAATTAGTAGTGCCATGGGTACTGTTGTGAATAGATGGTGCTTCCCTAAGAGCTGAGAGCTGGTATCTCTAACAGATGGATCTTCCAATTTTCCAACTGCCCCCTTCTTTTATATCCCTGATGACAATCAATTTCTTACAATCAGATTGGTCCTAAGTTGTCAAATTTGATAGGCTTTTGATATCTAAGTACCTGGTTCAAATTGATTGGCTAAAATCAAAAACCCATTGTCTTGGTAAAAATGCTGCTTCGCCTGCTAACAGCCTTTCAGTACAAATGTTTCAATTCAGGTTCTCTCAGTATTTGCAAACATTCAAGCTGCTCACAGTCATCTCCAAGCATTGAAAAAGCACAATCTTTTAAAGGGACCACGCAACGCTTTCTCCCCAGCATGTTACAAACACCAATATTTTACAACACCAAATTCTAACGTCCTGCCTTCCAATTCACAAATACCCTAACAAACTTTGCAACACAAAACCATTTGTCATACATAAGCTAGTCCCAGTCCAAGTCAGACAGTTCTTCAGACCTGTTCCTGGGTCTATTTTTTTCTTCCAATCAACTCATTCAAAGATGTTATGACACACCTTTAGAACAGGTAGGACTTGAGCCTGGGCCCCCTGGCCCAGTGACAGGGACACCACCACTACATCACAAGAGCCTTCTGGCTTTGCTTTACAGATAATTTCCTAGTCAACCTATTGAGAGATGTTATTACACACCTCCTGAGCAGGTGGCACTTGAGCACAGGCCTCCTGATCCCAAGATAAGGACGGACTCTACCACAAGACCCCCCTGGGTCTGTTTGTTATTCCCTTGTTTTTACACCCATAAGTTCCCTTACACACAAATGAACACTTTTTCCCATGAGTCTGCTTTTTCCATTTATGGTTAATCAACCTATGCAGATCTGTTCTTCCACACCTCTGGAGCATGGGACTTGAAACTAGCCTCCTAGCTCGGACATAGGCACATCACCACTGCACCACAAGAGCCCCCTGAGTATGCTTCATATTATTTTCTAATTAACCTGTCCAGGGATGTCATTACACACCTCTTGAAGCAGGTAGGACTGGAATCCAGGCCTTGCACCTCAGAGGCCTGGACTCTACCACTGCATCACAAGATCCCCTCTTAGCCCATTTAATTTATTTATTAATCTATTTTCTAATCAATCAGTTCAGAGATGCTATTATACATCTCTGAAGGAGGTGGGACTTAAATCCAGATCCTCTGGCCTAGAAGATGGAGCACTTCCGCTGCACCACAAGAGTCCCTCTGAGTCTGCTCTTTTTTTTTTCCAACCAGAAGTGTTATCATACACAAGTGAGCAACCTTCCCACCACCAAAATCACTGTGACTGTTTTTGTTTGTAAACTACTAAACTTGACCAGTAATTACCCATGCAGCCAATTAAATGTTCACATGCAAAGCTCGTTGAGGGCGATGCTTGAGTCTGCTTCATGAAAGACTCAAGTGATGAGTTCCAACTAGACTATCCGCTGTTTGTTTCCAAGGAAACTTGTCCTCAATAAGCTCCAATGAGATTAATTAGTGAATCACCATGGGCCTTGTAGGGGTTATCAGATCATGTGAAAGAAGAGTTTGAGAGCAGACACTAATTGGAGTAGATCATAACCGATGAAATATTTCATTAAAATTTCACATCTCTTAAGTAGTTAGGAGATGCCAATTTGAGGTACTACACCAACGCAAGCGGTAGAAGGATGGAATTGCAGTGCAGCTTAGCAAAATAGACAGTTGTTTATAAATATGCAAACAACAATGTATAATTACAAAAGATGACAGAACTGTCAAAACATCTGACAAGAAAACAATGCAGACAGAATTTTTTTTTCCTTGTTGATAAATATTATATTTGAGTAAAATGTACTATAAAATATTATTTTTTGATAAAATCGTGACTTTCTGGCATATGACAAAATTTGTTTTTATGCAGGGAAGACACTTCCTACACATCATGTAAAACTATACTGCAGACTTCATAAGCAAAGCTGCTAAAGTACAGCAAGACACTTCCAAAAAAAAATAGGTTCAGATAATTCAGATAATTTATAGTTTCCAAACCATTTGGATACATATCTGAAAATCTCTGGCTTGTGATAACCATGCAGACTCTTAACACTCGGCAGAAAGTCTGTCAGAACAAAGTTATGCTTGGAAATATCCTTAAAATGGTCATTTTTACTCGTAAATGAGCTCATAGCCCAATATTGCTTTGTCTCAGGTATCACCGACTTTCTTTTGCTTCCCTTTGCGAATTATGAAAAATAAAGTTTTGACCAGAAATTAAATGGATTCACTTTTTTTAAAAACAGAGGCAAATCAACTTAGCAATTAAAACATGCCTTGCAGTTATTTGGACGTTTAAAGCTCAACTGAAACAATTAATTAGAACATATTGGAGGTTCGGAAAGAGTGATTCAGACTGCATAGAGCTCAATATTGAGCAATTAGTAATAAGGAACACATCAGTTAAATCTCCTTCATAAAAATGAAAGCATCTAGCCTTTAGCGTAATATATTACACAGCTTTCAAACCATGAGAACAAAACTATCAGAGTTTCTCATGAACCACCATCAGAAAACTGTAATATGGACAAGCTGCAACAAGCCTTGCTGGCAACTCAAGCTAAGCGAACAAGCTCTTTGAAACAAAAAATATTAGTTTCCCAATATCTCTCCACTTCTTTTATCAGGCTGGTGAAACTTGAATTCATGGACCTTAACGGTTTCAGACAAAATAATGTGACTGATCAAAAGGCCAAGTGCCCTTTACTTTACACTGAAACCATTCACATTTCTCTGATAAATCCAAGCAAGATGTATGATTCTATGATACATGAAGTTAACTACAGCTTAAAAATCCAAACATGATAGAGAGATTGTTTTGGTAAAGTATTTCTGTGCAAAAATACTGACTAAATGTGAAATTATACATTGTTAGCCATGCCAGTTAATCCCATATTTACTAATAAATGCAATCTGAATTCAATCATTCTGCAAAATTCTGTACCCTTCAACATCAAGTTCCATCTTCCTAACAAACGACCTCGATAATATGACCAAGCAGGATCACTCAGTAAGTTTGAGATAGGGATGGACAGATTTTTGTTAGGCAGGAGAATCATGGGTTATCAGGGATAGATAGGAATGTGGAATTCAAAACAAAAATAGATCAGCCAGGATTTTATTTAATGACAGAGCAGGCTCAAGGGACTGAACAATTTACGCCTGCTCCTGTTTCGTATGTATCCTGAAAGCTTAGCTTAAAAAATTATGAAGTAAACCTTGCAACAACGCTGCTGTTCATAAAACAGCAATTAAATTTAGAGTCTAATATCCATTTACATGACAGTGCTGGACATAGTCCCGTATTCTACAGTTGCAGTCATATAAATGAAACAGCATCCACATCTCTGGAGGAAAAGAAAACATCTTGAGGTAGTTTTGCTTCTCCAGAGGCAAATTTGCCAAGGCCAAGTTAAATGGGCAGCGATCGAATAGTTTGCTATTTGCCATTATATTCCAGCTGCAGATGGTCTGAATCCAACATTTTGAAATTTAGCAATGTGATTTTGGCACCAATAGTCCATATAGTCCTTCTGCTGCTAACATGAATCATAGAATATGACAGCACAAAACGAGGCCATTCAACAGATTGTGTATGTACAGGCTCCCAAAAGAGCTACGCAGTTAGTCCCATTCTCCATTTCTAATAGAATCATAGGATCATCTACAGTCAGAATGGAGAAGTGGCAAGGCATGTTTTTATCCAAACTGTCTGTATGAAGCCATTTTGTATAAATAATTTACATTTAAGTAGCATCATTCACACTCAGGATTAGTCAGAAAGCAGTTGAAATGGCAATATGAAATATGGATTCAAGTCCTGGATTTCAGTTGAAATCCAATACCTTTTGACCCCTAAAGAGTGTTCAGCTGACTGAGCCAAGCAGTTGTGTCCTGCTGTTAGCACCAGTTTTAAATCACTCATCTGGTATAATCGGAATAAAGTAAAAAATAAATTAACAGCATTGTCCAGGTTCTAAGTACAGTTTATTGTTGGATTAATAACCAATATTCACTCAACCACATAATAAAATAACTAATCATCTCATGCTAATAGAAGTAGCATAACTATTCATATAATATAATTCTGAACTATGTAGCAGCTGGAGGAAATGCTTTTGCTAAAGAATGGGAACAGACTGGAAAGTCTGGTGTAAGTCATTTTTCCATGTCCTGTGAATTTACATATGGGTATGATTTTTTTTATTAAAACAGCAACTGTAGCTATGGGGATACTTCAACTTAACTGAAATAGCAACATTTACATAGAAGTTTTAAATCTTGTAATTAAATTTGGATAACTTTTTAAAAAGCAGTATTTTACATAGTGTATCAAAACTCATTTATCTATATTGATGTCATGCAAAAGTTGGCCCACTGGCATACTGCCAGATTTGTACGCAAGTTTCTGAAACCAGGTGTGTCTAAAGGAATGCGCTGACTGTTACTCTGCTCTTTCTACAATGTTAACCAGCTTCCATTCTGTCTTCCACAGTCTCACGCAAGCTCTTCCAGTACCAGGTTAATCATAAAATTGGTTGCTTTTACAACAAATAAAGTGGCGTTTTCCATTTAATAGTTTAAGTATACTGAACCAAAAGATCTGCAAAAATAAAGGGCCAGGAGAAGCACCAAACAACAAACTTGATCAAGAATATAGAAGATGAGCCTCACTAAAGAACGCAAACCAAAGAAACCTCACTACATTCCTCGACCTCCAGGAAAACCATTCAAATATAAATGTTTCCAGTGCCCGTTTACATGCAATGAAAAATCACATCTGTTTAACCACATGAAGTACAGTCTGTGTGAAAATTCAATTTCACTCGTTGCAGACCAGGACCAAACAGGAAAATGCCCAAAGACAAGTTCCAGTGAGACTAATATACTCAACCAGAAAGATGATGAGTCAAATGAGTGCAATGACACAAGGATACCAACTAGTCGACTCAATAAGAGTTCAGAATATACAAATACTGTTTCAAATAAACCCTCAAGTCATCAGATCATCGACAATAATGACATAAAAGAAAATGCAGGAGTGGTTAATCAAGCATTTTCTCCTGTTCCAAGTATGAAACCACATCACTTGATTCCTACAAGTGAAGCTGAAAAAGTAGGATGTTTTGAAAAGGAGCAAAGATCCTCAGCTTTCTTGCCTGTTGGAGGTCTGAGATCCAGTGAAAAACCAGAAAAAGTCAATAAAGACACACATTCTGCTTCTGAAAATTCAAACAATAGAACATCTCCCAACCGAATGAAATCAGCATTTTATAGCCCAGGTGACCAGTGGAGAGCATGTTCTTCAACTTCACCAGAATTTTGCAAAGCAGATAAAAGTTTTGGCTCAATTCCTCCCAACACATCACCTCTGATTCCAGATTATACACACTATTACAGTGAACGAGGTTCAAGAGTAGTCTTTTCACCCTATCTCCTCACTGGTAAGCCACCTGAACATAACAGCCCAAAAATTCCACTGTATGTCTCAGCTGACCAGAGGAATTTTCTGCTCCCTCACCTACAAAATCCAGGCATGACCTTGCCAACACATTTGGTTCCATCAACATTACAACAATACAAGATTTTGCATCATTTGCATTCAAATATTCCTATTCCTTATGGAATCCATCATCTCAACTCAACTGAATACCACATGTCCCAGTTTGGTATGAAGCTTCAACAAGGAAGTAACACCAGTAAGGATCAAAACACACAATCAGTTGGAAATCCCTCATTCTACGAAACTTCATCACCGTCAGAACTTTATCTCCAGAACACTCACAGAAGGCTTTATCCACAATGGGAAAACTTGGCTCCTACAAAATATTTAAAAGATAACAATACTGTAGAACTAGACATGAACAGTGACTCTCTCCCACACACAACAAATGTAAAAATGAGCCCTACAGCAGGAAGTGCAGCAATGGGCTCTCCTGGTCGACCTAGTCCTTCCTTTGCTCAAACAAGTACTGTTTCAGAAAATTTTGGTGAATTGCCAAACAAGTTTATTTCAAGCACAAGCGTTAAAAGTAATAGATTGGAAGAAAACTTTATGCACTTCAAACCAATCAGAAATCCACATGCAAATAAATTCTACATTCAATATGATCGGCTAGAAAGGCAAGGCACAGAAAGCAGGTACAGCAAATGCCAAGGATTTTCAAGTTTTTTTTTGGAATTTTGAATTTTTAAAATCAAACTAAAAGGCATTTGTGATAACTGCAACAATGAGAAACGTTT